CTGAATTCCTGGGGTACTGGCAGGTGTCTCAAGAAGGGCTAGGGAGCAGCCAGATGAGAAGGAAGGAACTTAACTTACTTTGCTTTTCTGTCTCCAAACCTATACTCTGTTTTGCTTGTATGAGCCTTTTTTCCTACATAATAAATTTTTTTGTTGTTTGTCACGGCGGAGTCCTTCAGGAGGGCCGTGATCTCCTTACGGCCCCCTCACCGTGCCAAGTCGGCCCAAGGGCACCCTCAAATTCTCACCCGCCACGTCTTTGATGTTGAGGTAAAGTTGGGAGGCTGCCTTACGACTCTCTGGGCACAGTAAGCTGCGACCTCTGTCCCCGTGTGTTCCTGGACCCCCTGGGGGTCTCCCGGTATGATGGGTGCTCCCCAGGCACCCTAGCCTTATGGGCTACGCGTGGCTCCTACCAACCCCTAATACCACGCCCCAAGTCTCGCTGATGTACTGGACGTTGGTCCGTCAGAATACACGCCCGTTCTCCCGGGCCTCCTCTATGATCTAGCCCACTTCGGGCTCTCTCCTTGGGCTCACCGCACTGCTATCCCCTCTCCTCAGGGACAACCGCAGCACCTTGCCTCTGCCTGAGGTCTTTTGCCGTACTAGCCTATGACCGGGCTCGCTACACCTGTCCCGGGCTTCTCAATAAGGCGCTCCCCCTCTTTGGGGCTCACTGTGCCCACCTTGGGCTTCTCAATAGTCCCCCCCTTTCTCTGGGACTTGTTGTGCCCACACTAGGGCTTCCTAGTAGTGCCCCCTTCTGGTGCTTGCTGTGCCCCTACTGGGCTTCTTAATAATATGGCCCCCTCTCTGGGGCTCGTCATGCCCATGCTGGGGCTTCTCAAAGCTGCCCCTCTCCGGGGCTTGCTGTGCCCTTACTGGGCTTCCTAATAATATGGCCCCCTCTCTGGGGCTGGGGTCTACACACCCCGCAAGTTGCACCCTTACTGGCACTGGGGTCCCCACGTCGCTGGGGTTGCTCCTGCGAACACTGCGCCTTCCCAGGCGCTAAGGCCCCACACCCTGTGGGCCCTTGTGAATATGCTGCGCCCTCCTCAGGCGCTGGGGCCCCCACTCCCCTGGGGGTCCCTGTGAGGCCTCCTCCAACCCCTTATAGCCTCACCCTTGCCACCGGTGTTAAACAAACTGCTACATTAAAGCAGCCACAAGCCTCCTGGCTATAACCACAACATAAGGCACTGGGCCATAACAACATAAGCCTCCTGGCTGTAATTCAACCCCATTGCTCCAGCCTCTGGAGCTCTCGCGAGCTATACTTGCAATCCAGGTTCTCCCTATATCCTGGCTGAGGGAGCTCCTGTCTCTCCGGCTGCTAGCAGGCAACTGCCAGCCTGGCCGCAGCCCTGGGCTTTATAAGGGCCAGGCCCTGCCTCCTACAGGCAGCTGGCTCTCCTTAGTTGCCCCGGCAACCCGCAGCTGTGCTCGTTACCCTGGCAACCCTCATCTGGGCTTGTTATGTCCTGCCAGGGCTTGCTCTCTCTCTCTCCCTGGCAGTTTCCACTCCCTAGGAGCAGGGCACTGAGGTGCCCTGTGACATCGTTCATCTCCTTACTGATGTCTGAGGGAAGCATGATTGCTGGGCAATTTCTTTCATAACCCAATGGGAGTGCTACAGGAGGGCTGGCAGATTTCCACATTTCAGCTGCAGGATTTAGTATAAGGCTAGAGAGCAATCCCAGGGCAACCTTTGTCTGTTTTTTTGGGCAAATAGAAACACAGGAGGGAGAAATTTGAGTCTCTGAGAGTCTCTCACAGACAGGTTTCTGACATTCAGGATCTCCATATTTGTTGAGGCTCCTATCATCGCCTTGACAGTCTCCCCATTCCATGTGACTAACACTTGTTGATTTTCTGGAAAGTAATTCAGTTCTTTCTTTCCACTGAGGTAAGAATTTAGGCAGCTGACCTGCTTTTAAATTAACATCAAAAGTACAACCACTACATAAAAATGTAATGTGTTATTGGGTTGTAATATTAATCTCCTAATCACTTGGAGGACAGCAATCGCTGTTAGTATTTGCAGACTGGTTCCAGAATCTTTAATGATCAGGTTTTTGTAAATGAGATGGTCCATGCTCTGAAGGTTTCATTTAAGCCCAATCAGAACTTAACTAGCAAACTTTTCTGCTTTTCCTTTGAGGAGATCATTGGAATAAAGTTACTGTTTTGGCTATGATTTTAGGTGGATAAAGAGACAAATACAGAAGATCTTTTTCCAGAAGAAGTTGCTGTTCTTCCAAAAGAGAGAAGCAGCCGTAGACCCCGTGGTTCTGCTTTTGTTCGTAGTAGCACTATTGTTCGTTCACAAACCTTTTCGCCTGGAGCACGAAGTCAGTATGTGTGCAGAGTGAGTACAATATTTTTCTTTGTGATTCCACCTGCAGAAAGGTGAAGGTGAAAGGTTCATTTAACAGTGTGTATTAGTTCTAACTAATAATCCTAAACGGTATTTAAATATTCAAATGGTATTTAAATATTCCTGTAAGGAGGAGTGCACAGGCAGGAATTTAGTGCTATAAGGGCATTAATAATTAAATCATAGTATAGTCTTTTAGAGTCTTACAACTTGTTAGGTACAGGTCACTTCTAGTACATAACTTTTCTTTTCATCTATGCAGTGTCTAGTAGGGCAGTGTGAAATTTCAGCAGCCATTTCATTTCGGAGGTGTTCTGGCCTGTTTCAGCACCTGAAATGCCGAATCCGAAATAAAACGAAAAGCAACAGAATGAAACAAAACCATCAGAAACATTTCGGATGTTTCTGAGCCGGGCTTGCAGGGAAACAGAAACTAAGAGGGAGAGGGAAGGGGAGGTGGGGGAGGGAAAGGACTGCTCTGATACATCTGTAGCTGGCCAGTGTCTGCAAGGTGTCTGTGAGGTCCCTTCCAATCCCAGTGCTCTGGGGGAGGGACGGCAGCTTGCTGTCATCTCACACACTAATCCCTGGTTCCCCACCACCAGGAAGAGTATGGCAGAGCCCCACAACCCTCCCAGGGGGCACTACCCCCAGATCTGTGTACGGGATGACAGCAGGTCGCCGCTGCCAGCTGGGGCCGGTGCCAACACCCAAGTCAACTCCGTGCAGCCCGCGGTGAGCACAGCTGGGGGAGCCGCGGGAGAAGCCCCCATGGCTGTCCTGCCCTACCTGGCCCCATCCCCGACCCAGCCTAGCCTCCCAGCAATTAAACAAGGCCCCGCACTCACTGGCTGTAGCAGGGGCTCTGGGGCCACGTGGCAGAGCCCCCCCCCTCCAAAATGCAGCCTCTGCTTCCCGATCTCTCTTCCCCCACCCACCCAGCTCCAGCATCCCGGCACTTTAAAAAAAAAATCCAGATTGAAACGGAGCAGTGATCTGAAACAACAAAACGAATCACTGTCCTCTGAAACGGCTGAATCCAAAATCGAAAAGAGACATAGCTGTTTTGCACAGCCTAGTGTCTAGTACAAAGAGGCCCTGTTTGTGACTCTAGATGCTGACATAATACAAATCCTTAAGAATTCACATAATAAATTTCCAGGTATGTTAAGCATTTTAGATTAGAACAAACTTGTATAAAGTTGCTGAACATTGTAAATAAAGTGATTAATTTTGACTACCAGATTTTCTTGCCCCCTTTCCCTTAATTCTGCTGCTGGAAATTTGAGTGTGCATTATTAGCAAGGAAATACGGCAATGACAGTTTCCACTTCTGCTGGGGAAAGGGGAAGATGAAAGTAGTGTTGCAGTGCTGTAGGTGGGACTCACTAGCTACTGGCTGTGGACACTTTCTCTCCCTGCATCCCTCCCTCAAGGCTTCTGTTGCTTTGGTTTCTACTCAGTTACTTAATGCTACCTACCAGTATTTTTGAGGACATGTCTTTCTACATGCTTTCTTTCAAAAACAAGGTTTCTTGGGGGCATGTTGTATGTGAGAAAAATATGGTATATTTTTTTCCTTGTAGCTTATGTAGCATTACTGTACTACAGGTTTTCCCTTTAAAAAAAAATCTACAATTTAGATCCTTTCATTGTTGTTTATTTTTTCACTGTCCTTGTCATGTATCCTTCCAAATGGTGAGAGGATATGGTACTTATTAATTTGCACGGCTCAGATTATAGTTTAAATATTTGTCCCACACCATTGCTTGTTACATACCTTTTTATTATAAATAGAGAATATAGCCTTTTGGTATTACAGCAGAGGTAGCCAAACAACAGTGTTTTAAGTGATACACTGCCACCTTCAGGTTTCAAGTTAGTCTTTATTCATAATTAAGCAAAGAAGAGAGACAGCATCTCTGTCCCCAGTACATTTTCATTTTGTATTACTTTGTCACTAACAGTAGCCAAATTAAAATAATATTATCCTCTGAGTCTTTTTTTTTAATTCTCTTACAATTGCATATTTAATAAAGTGGCATAATCAAATGTCCTCAAAAGAAGAAACTCCATATAATTGAGCTTAATTCATTTCTTTGAATAATCGATCCTCAAAAGTCATTTGTAAAATAAACTAACTGTATTATTATGCATTGTTTACAATGGGCAGCTTACTGTACCTGAAAAGATAGCAATTTAGTCATACTGGCTTGTTAGAAATAATGAAGATATTTGAACATATCACTAAAAATGTTCGTAATTTAACAGAAGCTTATTTGCCATCTTTTAACAAATAGACATTGTTCAAAAATTGCACAACAGCACTGTAATGTGGAGACAAATGGTAGTTTATCATGTAGTGTGCAAACTTTTGTGCATTGATATAACTGAAATCCTCGGTGAACTAGAAAAATATTTGATTGTCTAAAAGAAAGCAAGGACTTTATTCCTAATTATGAGTTAGTAGTTAATGTCCCTTATGTTCAATATCTTTTCTAATCAGCTGTATCGCAGTGACAGCGATAGTTCAACCCTGCCAAGAAAATCACCTTTCATCCGAAATACATTGGAAAGGCGTACCTTGCGCTATAAGCAGGTATGTTAAGAATATAAAAATCTTTATTTTAATCAGTGTTTAGGTTTTTATTATTGCCTGACTTCGACTTAAATTTTGAATATGTACTTTAATGTAATTATACTTCTGTTATATAATAAAGTCTTCGTATTGTTTTTAGGATAAGGGGTCCATACTGAGATTTAAAATAGTAATGGACAATTGTAAAAACTTATGGCAGCTAATGCCCAGTTAAATAGATACAAATTATATATTGGTTTAATTACCTTCTCTCTCAAAACATTAAAGGTTAGATTGTGACCTGGGGAGCATGCCAACAAAAATGAATGAGTGAGATTAGACATACTGGAAATACTAGAAATACTTTCGAGAAGGATGTGGATAGACTGGAATGAGTCCAGCAAAGAGCGACAACAATTTAGAGGCCTGGGTCTTATGAGGAGAGGCTGAAAGAACTATTGTTATTAGACAGGACCAGAAGCAATGTCCTCAGCCTGCAACAGGGGAACTGTAGGCTGGAGATTAGACTGACCATTAGGCTGGTTAAGCATTGAAACAGGTTACCTAGAAATGTTGTGGAATCTCTGTTCCTGGCAGTTTTCATGAGCAGGTTTGACAGATAGTTGGCTGGCATAGTTTAGTCAGGGGATGATCCTTCCTTGAGGAGGGGGCTGGACTAGATGATTCACTGAGATCCCTACACCCCTTCTTTCCTATAATCCTATTGCGTTTCTAAACTAACACAATATTTTACAAGAGGATATCAGTTACTTTATTTTTTTTTAAATCTTATGACAAAAAAGTTAAGTGAATACCTGAAAAATCTGCTTTATCAAAGAACATACTAACGTATCATGTTGGGAGTAACCTCTCCAGCTTTTTATTTATAATTCAGCAATCCTGTAGATCTTCTTTGGCTGAGCTTATGGCAAGGACATCCTTAGACCTGGAGCTGGATCTCCAGGCATCCAGAACTAGACAAAGACAGCTGAATGAGGAGATATGTACTTTGAGAGAGTTGAGGCAACGTCTGGAAGATGCCCAACTCAGAGGGCAGACGGATCTACCCCACTGGGTACTTCGGGATGAGCGATTCCGAAACTTGCTGAGGGAAGCAGAGAGGCAGGTATGATATACTGGGCTGTAAGTTGGGCACATTCACAAACTTCATGAAATCTGCTTCAGTGCAAATGCACCCTCAGAGTGCTTAAGTTAAGGGAATGGAACCTTCTGACATTATAAAAAGATTTCAGTGTTTTGTTTCTGTACCATTGTCTTATTGTCTCTTCCTACCATTGTCAAAACACCACTGCACTGATTCCTAGTGATTTTTTTATGTGGTGATGACTAGGAGGATGGCATTGTCTAATCTGTCTGAAAAGTTCAAAACTCTCCCCATAGAATTTGAATTTAGCAGTAGTTTAAAATATGCTTTCTGATATTTACTATTGGAATCGTAGTATATTATTTCAGGGCATTATTTCTTCTGCTTGGCCTCTGGAAGACTATATGCTGATTTATATATTGTTCCATGTGCTCTCTTCTTGGGGCACATGCTTATTAATTCCCAATAATGATAAATTGTAGCCAAGGCCACAAGCCTACAGACCACTGCAGAAGTTGTCATTGGATCTTCAAAACACTCACAGAGTTGATATAACCTCTCTCTTCTTTGAAATTCCAAACACAGTGAATTAGAAGGGGTTTAATATGTATGTTTCAGCCCTTATTGCTTCTGAAACAGTCTTATCAAAATTGAGCCTATGACTTCAGGCAATTTAGGTTTTTTTAAGACCACAGGTTTGGGCAGTTTTGTTTGGAAGTCAAAGAGCCTGTTAGGAATCTCCAGGAGCCTTCATCTCTGTTTCCAAAATTAATATTTAGCTTTGTTTTAATATTAATTTTCAGACAAGACAGACCAAATTTGAACATCATCAAGAACAAGCAGCTGAAAAAATGCTGAAGAAAGCATCCAAAGAAATATACCAGCTACGTGGACAAAATCAGAAGGAGCCTATTCAGGTGCAGACTTTTAGGTAAGCAGTAACATACATGGGAAGTGGTGCATGCTTATGTCTCTGAACCAGTGGTTCTTAATCTTTTTAGAATCAAGATTCCATTATTAGGTCAAGGCACCCTTCAGAAAATACCAGCTCTGTTTTCACACATTTTTGATGACAGAAAAATAATACAGCAGTTTTTTTGTTGCAAAGAACTTTGATCACAACAGGTCAGAATGTTTTTTTGATGCTATGGATTCCTATTTGAAATTTCTCGGTTGATCTTGTGACTCATGTTTGCACAACAAACAGTACTAATATTGTTTGTCACCCCATGGCACCCTAGGTAAGAATCACTGCTCTACATGATTCTAAATTGACTAACATGTTGTAGTTACTAATTTGGTGGATCCAGATCATCTGTGTTGGGTACTGTATCAGAGCCCTTTCATTGTTTGCTTAATTTGAATGAGCCTTTCCTTGCAGCAGTTTATAGTACCAGGAATAATAATGAAAGTAGAGCTGCAGTATCTCTCAAAAAGCAAATAAAACTGGGCTGTAATACAAAAAAAAAAATGTGTATATTTTGTGCATCTATCTTGGGCTGTAAATCAATAGATATATATTAAGGCCTCTGTAGGGCATTGGGAAATGGAGCTTGTAGAATTTGCCATTTTCTCCCAAGTGCCGGTTACATCCCTGTAAGCAAAATTAGATCATTTAACATTATATATTTACAATTGCAGTAACACTGTTCTTGTAACAGCTTTTCCGTATTGTTCCAATTACTGTCTTCCTCCCTTTCATTGTCTTCTCTGTGTGCATTTTCCTTTCCAATCCCCTCCTCCCCTATAGTTGCTGCTCTTTTTCTTCTGCCAAATTCAGTGTTCGCTTTGCTTGCCAGTGGCATTGTTAAACATTAACACACATTTTTGAGACAAAAATAGCAGTTTGTTTCATATATAAGCTACTGTACAGATGCCAAGACATGAAGAGTTTTAACAATGAGTAAATGCTGCAGTGAAGTGACTGAACAGGGAAAAAATAGTTACATCTTCATATTTGACTGTAGCTTCATATTGGACTGTTAAAACCTGTTTACTTGAATTTGTGTTAGAAGCACTGGGAAGGCTTCACTAAAATCAACACGAATCCAAGCTCAGTTCATTTTCTAGTTAGGGCATTGGTAGGCAATCTTTTTGCTGCAGCAGGTTGGAATGACCTGGCTCAGGTCTGATATAGGATGGTACTAGGACCTGCCCACTGTCTCCGACATTGCTGCCACTGCTTCTTACTGCAGACTAACTGCAGCATGGGAAAACCTCCCCAGTGCCCAGCTGCAGTGCAGTGTGGGCAAAGCCTCATGCAACTGAACACAGCTGAAGATCCTCAGGTCCATGGGCCAGGGATGTATATTGTTGCTCCTGGTTAAAGTATAGTAAGAAGGGGACAAGCCCCTCTAGGCAGCAACTGAAGAGAGAGAAGTGTTGTAAGGTTGGTTTAATATTTTTCATTTTTAAAATAACAGATTATGTGAATCTTACATATTGGGAAACACAAAGCAGGGGGGGAATAAATCAAATGAAAGGGCTGGTATACAAAGGTAATATAAAGCTGTTCTGTAATGCATGTGATCTACACGTACACAATTTATTTTCAAACTTATTCTAGTGTGTATGTTGGTCATTCAGGAAAAAAAAAGGAAAAATATGAATAAGAATTTCCCTATTCCCTTAAATGGATTAATCCATAAATATGGCACCTGTTTTAGTTTATTCTTGTATGTGTTCCTTTCCTCTTATATCCAAAAGAGCTAATGATTCTAAAACTATAAATTGGACTTGGTTTATTATGAACTGTGGGCGATTTTGGCTTGGTCTGCAGCATGGGGCATGGTTCTTTCCGTTGATTCATAGATTGTAAGGGGCTGGAAGGGACCTCACAAGATCATCAGGTCCAGCCCCCCCTGCACCCAGCAGAAAAGCCAGCTGGGGTCATGTGGCCCCAGCAAGGTGACTGTCCAGTCTCCTCTTGTAGATTTCCAGGATAGGTGATTGCGCCACTTCTGGAGGGAGTTTATTCCAGTCTGGACACCCTGACTATGATGAAGTTTTTGCTACAGTTGAGCCTGAAACTGTCTTCCAGGAGTTTGTGACCATTACTCCTGGTTTTCCCCAAGGGTGCCCTGGTGAACAGTTATTCACCAAGCCCTTGATGTATTCCCCTGATCTCTTGAGCACACTTCAACAACTTTGCAGCAGCAGGGCACTGACCAGCATTGTCCCCCTGCTTTACCTGTGGTGGATTAGGGTGCTGTGTCTTATAGTTGTGCAGCAGGGTTGACTGTGTAGGGCTAGTAATAGGTTAGACAAAGATTTGTATGGGATGCTTTAAATAAGGATTATCCTGCCTCAGGCATGGGGTTAGACTTCATCCGCGTTTCTTAACCTGTGGGTTGCAATCCAAAAGTGGGTAACAAAAATGTATGAAAGGGTCACGAATAAACTTTGAAAACGAATCAACAAATTTTAAAAATGGATTCTCCTTTAAAGGAGAAAAACATGGGAAACCATGGCTTTTCCCTTGCAGGCTGGCAGAGTTCCAGCCTGCAAGGGGCTGCTTGAGGCTCCCACTGCCCTCCATACCCACCCCCTGCCTCCCACACTGGAGGGCTGGGACCTGGGGGGGAGGGGCGGGAATGGTCAGGACTGAGGGGCACTGGTTCAGGACTGGCCATAAATGTTTACAAATGGGTCCTGATAAAAAAAAAAAAAAAAAAAAAAGCTTGAGAACCACTGGACTAAATGATTTCCTGAGGTCCCTTCAAGCGCTACATTTCTCTGATTCTCTGATAAATCTCTCTCATTAAGTATTTGATTTAAAGTGGTCTTTAAGCTAAATAAATATTGACTTTTTCTTAAATAAAAACTGTATATATATTTGATTCACCTCCTTTTTATCTGTGTTTTTTCAATGACAGAGAGAAGATAGCTTTTTTTACAAGACCAAGGATAAACATACCTCCTCTGCCAGCTGATGATGTATGACATGTTGCATTGTAAACATGAAGTATTTATCTCTTTTATTTTAATGAAGTTATTAGACTAGCTGTTTCTTTAAAACAAAGTTTGTGCAAAAGCTAATATACACATTTTGTAAAAAATAAATAAGTAAAAGTAAACAAAAACATATATATAAATATATATATACATATATATATTTTATAATAGTGACTGCAACAAGGCTTGGTTTTTCCTTGTTGTGAAATTGACATCTCTGAAGACAACTTATTTTATAAAAGATCAACTATCCTGTTTAAGAGCGTGTACAGTTTTTATGCTGTTTTATTTGACTTAAAGGCTGGAAGACAGAAACAAAGTGAGTTCAGGCAAATTCACTGTAGTGTAATTTATTTATAGTGTCTTTTTTCCTTGAAGGAAAATACCTACTTTAAGATGTATTTTAAGGCTGAAATTTTTGTTCTTCAGTATTTGTCATACAGTAGAATGGAACCATTGAGCTGGTTTTGTTTCTGATACCTGAAATGAAAATACTATGTTCTAAATTTGTCACTTTTATCAGCTTTACTCTCTGTATCTTATTATGTACATTATATCCTTTAGCACTGTCTGTGTTATAGCAAAATATTATCTCCTGCAGTGTTTTTAATACTGATTAAAATGCCAGTAAACATTGCAGAATTCATCTGCATGTTCTTACTGTGCGCTAATCGATTGTTTTCATTTCAGTTGTGTCTATGTATCTTTATATTCTTGATTCTCAATTTAAACGGGGGAAGAAGAAGGGTGGCAGGTCTTTGTTTTTGCTGTTTTTATAAACAGGGAGCTAAAGGGGGATTGTAAGTTTGTCATATTAATATAATCATTAAACAAATATAGCATTTGAACGGTTTTAAAGATTATGGCCTGGTGCAGGAAAGCATTTGAGCCCCAATTCTGTAAAGCACCTCTCTTCAAGAAGGCTGTCAAAGCACATGAATGAGTGCTTTCTTGAATAGAAATGCTTCTTAGGAACCATCTGGCCCTAGAATAAAGAGCTCACTTGATTGTCAGTTGGGCCTGCTAGGACTTGGTAAGGAGTAGTTTTACTTGTTACCAATTGCTTTAATATAGGACTGTCACCCTAAATTCCCGAGAATGCCAGTTTTGTGTCCTTGCATCTTGCAAGTATGTAAAAATACTTCTTACTAAGCTACTATATGCAATTTCTAATATTTTTTTCTAATTATATTTTAACAACCGAAAAGGGTGCATTGTTCAAGGCTTATTCAGCTAAATTCCTGGAACAACCAGATCAAAAATATAGCTTTCTCTTTGTTAATGGGAGGGCATCAGGTCAAATTTGGCCCTGGATTTGGGTTTCATAAAAAAAACAAATAAATATGCTAAACTGATGACCAATAGAATATTGTTATTATTTTGTTATACACAAGTCGACATTCCCTTAATGTCTGGAATGCATTCATTGTAGCATTCTGTAATAGCAGAGAACCTGAAAGTCAAACCAAGTCTCTTTTCATTGTCCAAAATGAGGCAAAAAGAAAGTGGAACTTAAGTTGATAAATATTTTAAATTAAAAATGCTAAATAAGTAAGCAAGTACTACTTGATTCCAGGGGTGGAAAGTATAAAATTAATTCTGTCCCCTTTTGCCTGGCATTGTCCATGAGGTTTGAACCATCCAATCATATGACTTGCCAAAAAAAGTATGCAAAACTGAGGAATATTTGGCTTTGTCACAGTAAGAACCCTCACGTGTCTCTTCTTGGCAGTGGATTTAGATAGATGTGGACTAGGTTCTTGTATCTAGATAAGAGAGATATGAAAATGCACAGTACATCAACCAAAAACAAATAAATAAAGACAATTGAAAGACATGTCAGTGTTGGGATAAAAGTCTAAGGACAGCACCTTTTTCATTGCTCATTACTTGAAGAGCTCAGTACGTTAGAGGGAAGTCATGCATGTTGTTTACAGTGGTTGCCATTAAATTGGCACTATTTACCAACAGTTGCTATGCAGTGGTATCTGAGATATCACAAACTTATTGTAAACTTAGAATAGGAAATAAAAGTGAAGTATCTGATGGTGTATCTTGCTCATTTTACATGGTGACCACTGTACAGCATCTGTATATTTTGCCAGTCTAAGATTCTGACTGTTGTAATAAGTCCTATTTTGATGTGGTAATGAGTTATCATATTCAGTATTCATCTCTCTTGTTTTTGTCATGACTCTGTATGATTATGTCATTTGTATTATTTGAAAAGTATTTCTTCTACAAAATAAAATAATTTGCCAAAAATGTGAACAGATCTTTGTTGATTACCACCTTATAAGATGATGGTTGAAATAGTTTACATTAAGTGTACTGTAATAATACCCTTTACAAAGTAATTTTTGTATTGTTGAGCATTGTTGTTTAGTTCAATGTAGTAATGTTTCAAACTAACAGGCAGTGTTAGGGAGCTTGTAAAACCAAACAGTTTAAACAGATTAACCTTGAGCCTTGAAAGAGATGCAGTGCCAGGCATGGAAATATTCTCTCACTACTACTCTATTGAAAATAAAGGTGACATCTATGCCAGATGCTCATAATTAAGTTATTTCTGGACTTATTTTTATATTTTTTTTGCTATGATGAACAGTTGCCCTTGGAAAAAGGTGTTCAAGATTTCCCAACTAAGGTTTAATTTGTATTTTGCATAGATGTGCTGCAGACAGCTTTTTCATATTTCTTCTCGTTTATGAATTTACTGCACAGTAGGGTTCTCAAAGATGAACAAAATAAAGATATATACCATTATATGAATTTTAGTCTCATTCTCTGTTGTTGAGCCAGACCAGAACACTTTCTTTAGAGGAGATATCTGAAAATGGATATGCAATACGTGTGGAGAAATGATGGATCACATTTTTATCTGTGCAGCTCTAGACAGCATAAGCACAGACGAGATGATACAACTGAATATATGATGCCATTCTCATTTCAGTGTTTACAAGTGGATACAATAGTTAGAACTATTTTTAAACCATCCTCTAGAAAGAGTCTGGACATTTTAGCTTTCACTCATTCACTGCCATCATAAGCAACAAACTGGGTACGTTAATAGAACACTACATTATAAAAACAAAAATCTTACAGTCTTCTCTACTGCTGCTATGCTGCATATATTACAAGATGGTACTTTAAAGTAAGTGTTACATAAATGTTTTGCTTCTATAATGTTTTACTTCTTGGGCTCAACTAATCATATATATCAGTGTTAACTGCAGATCTTGTTGTGTACCATATAACATACAGAATTTTATTCTGAGTGAAGACCATGCTTATTATACATCTAGTGTACTTTTAAGTTCAGAGGAAACCTACAAATAGAAAATGTTATGTGAGAAGAAGCGAAAAGTTTCATTTGCAGGGAGAATATTTCAGAGGCTCATGAAACTGTTTTGCTTTCCTTAGCAGTCTTTTCAAAGCATCATGTTAAATATAGCTCTTTGTTCAATATTCAGTATAAGAGTATAAATTGAGTAGATTTCTTGAAAGGAATTTGTGTTAAATATTTGGAAATTGTGAGCATAAATTATGTATTTTAAACCATTTGTATAGCTAGAATGCTAGAAAATAACCAGCATTTGTGGGGTTAAAACCTTTTAGAGGATATTTTTAGTTGCATGTGTTTCTGTAAAATACAGAAGTTGCATGTAAGTGTCTGTATTTTATAATTTCATTTTCTGCCAGCAGTATTCCTTCAGTGTAGTAGTAATGAGATCGTCATTCTAAAAATATACCTGAAGCATGTGCTGGGGAGAAAACTAAACTTTAGGGTGAATTCAGTGGGAATAACCAGTACAAATGGGAGAATAAAAGCATTAATTTAGAAACTTTTCTACAGTAAAAATAATTTCCTGTGTTCATACTCATTTAATTAGAACATTAATTTACTATCTTTTTAACCTTGTTAATGTTTATATTATCTGGCAAGTTGCACAGAAATTCCTGAAATGAGGCACCCGGACAACTGATATGTTAAATGGTGCTAATCTCAAATTCAGCTAAAATATGCAATGTCAGCTAATAATCTGCATTGAAACTACTGTTGCAGTAGGGTGGGAGTTTCAAAAGTACAAAAGTCTATGCATTAGTGGCATTTCATTTTAATCACGGAAAAATTTGGATTTTGGGTTGCTTTTTTTAACCCAAAAATTGGGGATTTTTTTATCGGAGAAAACCAGGATCCCTGCTTATAAATGGGGAAATAGAGAAATAGCATTTTCTGCTGCCTAAGCTTTTGACAGGGAAAGCAAAAGTAAAACTGCACATACTCTACAGGGAGAAGAACAGTGAGCACCCTGGGCTCCCTAGCTGCTGCGATTGAGTTAGTTACCAGTATTTTCAAATAAAGATTTTTTTTCCTCTTCATTCTGCCTTTCAAAAACTAGATGCATGTATGTATTATTGTGGCAAGGGGGTTATGTTGTATGTGAGAATATTTAGTATCTTTAAGGCTGTAATGCTTGTGAAATACTTCGTGGAAAAAATTAAGGAAGGATTGAATGGAAAAATGTTAGGGAGAGATTTGACTGAAGGAGCAGTAATAGGTTGGTACACATGTACAGGAACTATTTCAAACACAAGGGACTGTCTGGAGAAGGGAGGATCATTAAAGCAGGATCCATATCAGTTATGGACAGAGCAAAATTGATGAAGAAAAAAGTAGAGATGGTGAGGTGCTAAGTCTTAAAAGTAAAGGTAAGCAGAACTGATGCAGAAGATAAAAGAAAGTCCACGTAGGTGTTCCAAGAATACGAAATTGATTTTGAAAAAAATAATGTTTTTGAGAATAGTTTTGGGTAGATGAAGGAAAGAAAGAGTAAGGTGAGAATCAGGCAAGTCAGAATATTGCAGAGCCATTATGAAATTGTGGCTTGTGCCATTTTCAAACTAACATGTTTATTACACCCTGTCACTTTATGAAATATGTAATAGTGCATCTGAGGATTGCGGTGATATATTAGTAATATAACATATGGGCACAGAGATTTCATAGCCACTTCAGTTTTTCCATATTACCAATACAATTTATTATTGCTGTAACAACAAATCATAGCCCCCTTTCTAGATCTGAAAAGGCTGTTTTCCATTTTGGTGACTAGAGATTTGTAAATTGCAACACTATATGAAAAGGTTGAGTATGCTTGCACTGCCTCAACTGAATCTTGCAGGATTACAAGCCAGTCTTTCTCCCTTTCCCTCTCCCTATCAGATATCCTATAGAGGGAGAATGCAGTCACGTGACTGTTACTGCTTCCTCCCTATGACATCATTGGTGTTGCAGCCATAGCAGTAAAGAAAGGATGCTACCAAATCTGTGGGATTGGGCTAAATGATGTTGCATTGCAGGTAAGAGACCCAATTCTCAAAAAGCTAAGTTGCCAGTGTCTCTTTTTCTTTCTCTCTCTCTCTTACCAGTAAGACCTTACACAGAAAATAAAACAGAGCAGTCTCTGTGTAGGCATCGGTTTGCAGTGCCAGAAGCTGCTTTGCTGGTACTTGATAGATCTTCCGGCTGCCATCTCTAACAGAAATGCTGCCAGATGGAGCTTTAATGCTGAAGAAAGCCCATTGTCTCTGTATTCTGATGTGGATGCTTCTTGTACATGTCAAATTGTGTATTTATTATAGCAGCTTCTGTCTATGGTACAGAGGAAAAAAATAGCATGTTGGCTATTTCCCCTGGGTTTTTTTCTGACACTTTAAACAATTTGGTAGAGATAAATGTGTTTAATCTCTATAAAAAACAAAAAGATGATTAATTTAATGGGGGGGGGGGCTGGGAGAGGGTTCAGCTGGTACATAATGGAGGAAAAAATTCTATTGTTATTTTGTGTTGACCCACTTTTAAGTACCTAGTCCAGCAGGTTTCTGGCACGATCCATTTGCATATTGTCAGGTAGTTTTTGCTGACAAGGCTTTTGTCTGATAGTATAAGCAATGAAAATAAATCCTCTGGAAAAACACAAGTAAGCAAGTAAGTAGTCTGTTGCTAGTTAAACAAGTGCTAATAATAAGTAGATTGTTCAGCCTAAATAGATTTTTTGGCAATTCTGTGTTTAAAAATTATGCAGAAAAAGACAAACTCCATCTTTTTTTCTCTTCTCTTAAATACACAGAGAATACAAATATATGAAGACTAACTGTTTGATAGAATGAGGTGACTGCTATTTTACGGTGTTTGTACTTCATTAAAAAATGTATTTAACTAAAATTGAAGCTGCTGGGAGTTTTAAGGTGCAAGAAATCAAAAATCGCTCTGAAGTGCACGATGATCAGGAGGAGTAAAATAAACCTGTTTCATGCATTTTTAAGAAGCTTGTCTTTGCCAGAGAATGGAGGATGACTCAGCCACAGCCGCAGCAGGAAAATGGTCAGGTGACTTGCTAGTCAGAATAGATGAGAAGTTTTTTTGGCCCTTCAAAGTCACGTTCTTTGGCGATGCAATGTTTTGACCGTTTACAGTGCACATAAAGCATTGCAGGGCTGATGCCTGTGTACATATACCCCGATGTGGGAAATATGGCTTACTTATGTCTTTAAATGTATTCTGTGTCCTAGTGAAAGAGGTAATTTACATTTCAAAGTAATTAGAAAAGTGTCCATACACTATCACTATTTTCTGAAACTAATATCCAGTAAAATATTAAAAACCTGAAGTACAAGGGATTTGGGCTCCATATGCCTTTCAGAAAACTTAATATCAAATCTGATAGAGAAAAGCTCTTCTATTTAATTTCCAAAGAGATCTTTCATCTGCAGCACTTCAGGATAAAACCAACATGAACACATTTTCACCTGCTATATTATTGAGATCACACTATATTCCAGTGTATATTCCAGTCTTACCGGCATTTGATTTATTCTTTCCATCCCTTTCTGAAATTTGAGAGAGTTGTGTGAATTCTCTCTCTCTCACTTAAGCTGCTAATTATATTCCTGTTCAAAAATGCCAGAGTGCTTGTCACCCACTACTGTGGCTTTTTGCCAAATTTAAAACATGCCCCACAATTTAAAAGAGAAATGTAATTTCTTGCCCCCTCTGTGGCCATATTTGAATTCATTAATGACATCTGCCGGGCATAAAAGTTCTCCCAGCAGATCTAAGCCAGGCATTTTTCCTGCACCAGAATGTCAAGACAAGGTATCAAGCTAATTAATATGCTCAATTGGATTTTAAAAAGGAGAGAAAGAAAGAAAACTTCTGTTTTCAGTTAGGCTTCTAAAGGGGAAAACCGGTGAAATTGGGGTGCCTAAGTAAAGAACTGCTATCTTAAATCCCCACTCAGCCCATTTCACTCTGAGGCACCTAAATTCTGTAACTGCCTTTAAAGCTCCTAATCTTACAGTCTGTTTCTGTGCATGCCCAAAAGCATCTTAGTCTTTCCAGGGAGTGATTCTCTCACTCCAAAGCCCATTCAGAACCTAGGCTTGCTTTTGCATGTTCCGAATGGCGTTCATTTTCTGAGCATACTCATGGATCAGTCTTCACTTAAAGGGCCAGGGGCAGCTGTTTGTTAAAACACCAGGAGAAGGAAGAAATAAAGCTGGCAGTGTAAAATTGAAGTTATAATAGCTAACTTGGCTATTACTAATAGCTTTCTATAATAAGCTTACTATTACCCCTTACAAAGTACTATATTTGTTTGTGTCTATTTGTACCATTTTCCCTCAAAATCAGCCCTTCCAAATTGGGGTTAAGCAAGAAGCTGTTGTCTTTGCTGGAACAGAAGCATGCCTGGAGATGTGCATGACATGCAGCTGCCACTTGTCTGGCTCAGCAAGCTGAAGGGGTAGAGTCTTGCGTTAACTCTCTCGCAGCCGTAACTACTGACTGAGCACCGTAGCTTGTGCCTGAAGGAGCAAGAGAAGTCCTGGTAGTATCCTGATGAGGCTTTTGATGTGGAAGTAGCTCCTTATTTACAGGAACTTTTATATAAAGAATTACTTGTAATAAAGAACTAACAGTCTTGCTTTTGCAAACGGCTAGGGCCTGAACTTGTGTGACATAGAATAAGTAATTCTGGGTCCATAAAGTGTCCAGGAAGCATGGCATCCCAGGATGCAGTCTGGCGGAGGCAGCTGGCACCAGAAACTTCCTAGTGTGGAGGTTCCTGCTGCCTCACCCAGGCTCTCCCTGGCATGGCACACTTCCTAGATACTCTGTTCCCAGGATGACTTAATCTCACACAGTCAACCATGACTTGAAAGGGGGAGGATATTTTCCCAGTCTTCTGCCTTCCTGAAACAAGGTGCATGTTTATTTTGGGCACTGTATCATATGTGTAAAAATACAGTAATTACATATGTCCATCTCTCTAGGATTGTTATTTATTTCCATGTCAAAATTAATTTTAAACTAATAGTAAATAGTATACTTCCAGGTTCAATTCCATCCTCTGTCTCGAGTGATTCCAGATCCGTATCTCTCACTTCCTGGTAGTCTTCTGACCACCAGGCTGTATAATTGCTTGGATGGGAGGCCCTCCACATCCCTATTTCACTTTGCAAAAAAGAATGCAAGGTTCATTGGGCCAGAGAGGGAACAAATGAGAGTAATCTACGTAGTCTAGTGGGTAAGGCACTCACTTTTAAAGGGGTGTTCTTGAGGCCTGGGCTGTGCTCCAAGGACTGCTTATACATTTTATTTTAAATAGTCATGGACTAAAATGAGTTTGAACCCCTGCAGGTCAAGGCAGGAATTGAACCTGAGTCTTCCACATAGTGGTGAGTGTCCTAACAAGGGATTTGAAGTAAGGAAAGACAGAACCTTCTGTCTTCTCTGTCTGCTGTTGTAAAAGAAAACACAGACAGCAGAACCTCAAGGGGTTGTGAACCCTGCCAGGAGAGAAGCATCTGCCTGCAGCCCTGGATGCCAGACCTGGTGACACACCTCTGTTCTCATCTTCCTTATTGGCTTGCTCTAGGTGACTGGATGTTGCCTCTACCTAACTTCTTGCTCAGGATTGCATAAAATTAGTTTGCTCAGCTTCTGTGGATCTCACTGTAAGGCGCCTACCTTGTCATCTTTCCATGTGCTGGCTAGAGGGCCAGGGAACCTAACACAGTGTTCTGGATTACACGGTGGAAGGATAGATGCTCAAAAGAAGCATTGTTACAGCACTGTATAGCTGAAGCTCCTTTTTTAATCTAATCCTCTCCTCTTATGACCCAAGCAAATGTTTTATGTGTTTTGAGCCCCACAGAAAAGAATCTTGCCCCTAAGCTCCAGTTCCAATTCAGTTAGATTCTCCTATGGATGTCCTCGTCCTCAGTGGCGTAACAAGCCACGCTAGCCCCCACAGCAAACACTGTTTCGAGGTTCCAAGAATCTACACCAGCCCTACAGAAAAGAAGGGCTAGTTCCAAGAACAGGGAGGCATGGGGGGCACAGGGCTGACAGCAGGCACAGTGGGTGGGGGCAGCAGCCTTGAACAGCTGGGAACCTCTAAACAGTCCTGGCTGAACTTCTGAGTCCATGTGCTCTGCCCGTCCCAGCTCTGTTGCTCATAAAACAGCAACCACCAGGGATCATTTTGGAGTTCCTGGCCCAGCAATGCTGCCTAGGGCATGGACTCAGCAGAGGTGGAGGGTTCATTCCTGTGCCCCTCCTAAATCGGCAGCTAGTGTGGGTGCCCCTCTTGCTCACCTCTAATTACATTATTGGCTGTGCTATTAGATTCACAGGAATGCATGTGTATTGTTTTTCTACCCAACGAAATAAAAATTCATGCTGTAGAGCCATATACACATTTTTCTTTTAATATTATAGAAGCTGTTGATGCTTCTCATCCTTGGCATTTCTGGTCTGCAGATCAGGAAATGATGCCCCAACTTGCAGTGACTACAATACTTGAGCATCCCAGGGCAAAAGGTTGGTAGAATGAAGTTTGTATAGCACGTCTCACCTACTGATCTCAAAGTGTTTTACAAGGGAAGGCTTTGCCCTTATTGTCAATGGAGAAACTACAGCTCTGTGCTGTGAAGTGGCAGCTGGTCAGGAACAGGTGGAGAAATTGAAGGTCCAAATCTCAGTCCAGTGCCCTGACTACTCAACTACATTGCCTCCAAAACTTTGTAAAAAAAAATGTTTTGTAGCAGAAGACAACTGTTTATTCACTATCTGTCTCCATATAACAGTTGTGTGTTCTGTTATTTCAGTTCTCACGTGTGCCCCATGTCACAGCCAAAGGGCTGTCAAAGCTCTTTCTGTGGTGAAGTCTCAATAGCCTTTCACTGAGCTTCCAGGAGCCAGGCCTAAAAAGTTCCTTAGCATGAAGCAAACTTTGCAGTCTGAGTGCAGAAGGCTGCTCTTTAACGAGTGAAGTTAAACGGTTGAAAGGAGGACATTTAAAAAATGTTAATGCCTTCCTGAAATCTCATTTTTTGTTGGTTGACAAAACAATCCCTTCCTTAGCTCTTTGCTAAATTTTCTCTTTCCAACAGTTGGAGAATCTTGGAATCCCCAAATCCAGCCGTGTTGTGTGGGAGGAGGAGAAGCAGCAGGGAAGGACTTAGAACAGGGATGGGAACAGGATTGAGGGTGGAGGGCGGAGAGGGTGGAGGAAGCCACGTTGCTTGAGCCCTCACATTACTCGTGGCCTATGACAATAACAGCTGCTCAAGGAGCTTTTCTTAATTAAGTTCAACATCTGAATATTCAGTAAGGGATTTTTAAGGAAGAAAACAAGAATAGTAAATACCTTATATGTAAAATGACTGTGTCGTAGAAAGCCTAACTTTTAACATTTTGGAGCAGATGCATATCTGGCCAGTTGTGCACCCTGGATAACAGCAGCACATGAAGTAGCCAGGCAGTGATCAGGTTGCTGCTGGTGGCAGTGGCACTGGATGGGCAGTGACAACTATTTTTTAACACCCCCCCTGCCAGTTGACACCTAGGGCAAATGCCTCACTCTCCTCTCCTTAGTTATGTTGCCGTTTTTGAGTGGAGGCTGCTCAACTAGAACATTGCATTTCCTAGATTGCATTTACTTACATTTTCCTCTTTTCTTTAAAAGTCAAAAGGGAGTAAATCTGTGTTGAACCATACGTCTTCCCTCTTTACATTGAAGAAAAGTTAACTGTGAGGCAGCCTTTATTAACGGTGCCACAACACAGCTTGGTATATCCAGATGGAAATACATTAAAATGCATGTGTGCAGTTGCTGATTTTACATGTACCTAACTTTAGATCTACAGAACTAATGTTCTTCAGGATTGAACTGACATTTTGGTCTCATTGGGGATGACAGAGTAAACAGAGTTTCACATGTTTAACTTGAGCTGATTTTGAATTATGTGAGCACAAAAACTCCATTTGGAACATGTGGCAAAAGCTTTTATTTAGTTATTTATTTATTTATTTTCCTCTTGCTGAACCAATTTTGCTCATATTTTCCAAGAAAACTCAAGCTGAAACTAAGCATGGTGTATTTCGTACCAAAATGAATTTTTTAGAGATGAAATTAAACAGAAAAGGAAAGGGAGAACTTTTAGGATAAAAGCTAGTGCTCAGCCTTGAATAGGAGTGAATGCTACTATTAAAGGTAGACTTTTTTTAGCACCAGCAAAAGTAGCCTTGTGAGTTGCACAGTGCATGGCAAGATAGTCTTGCATAGACAGAAAAAAAAGAAAATTGGGCCAGGATCTGCCAGTGCTTCTGTTCCCATTTCCAAAGGGAAAGGCAGGCTCGACAATGAATTATTGCTTTCTCATTCTATTGCCAAAGATGCAGATTTTGACAGCATTTGAGTTTCAAAACTTTCATTGGTTTTGTGGCCCCAATTGACTATTTGTTTTGCTTATATTTATGGCCAGTTTTTTTTTTATCACACTGCTCATACTGGGCTCCTATATACATACAGTGTGTCAGAGCAAACTCGATTAATCATTCAATGAGCTTTAATTAAAGTGCCCCCACTGCCATTTTTCAGTGCAGGGACACTGATACACATAACGCTCCAGGTGCTTTGTTTAGAACGTCTCTTGGAACCACTTTAATTAAAGTGGCTCCCTTCCCACTCCATTCTTGAATAGTGTCTATAAATGCTCCCATGTTGTGTACGGTGGCTGAGGAGATGATGGCTGGAGATCACAGTTTTCCCTCTCCCTCCATGCCTTAATTTTCCACTGAATTTTCCAAAATATGCTTTTCCCCCCTTTCCTTCCAGTAGCTCTCCCATGTGCTCTTATGTACTCCTTTAATTCATTTCTGCAGTGACTTCACAATTTTTTCCATAGAAGTTATTGGTAAACCTACACACCAAAAATGAACTGGATGAGCTTTTTCACAGAAGGACACTCCTTAATATGTTACAGCAAACCCATAAATAAAAGTACCACAGTATTTTAAAGCCATGTAAACACTATGCGCTACAGTAGCAATACTGCTGTGTATTAGATGCTGCAGAATTTTGTTGTCCATATATGGTGATATCTACTTGATAGTCCTAGAAGCATGATAATAGAAATACTGGCAGAAGGCAAGGCAGTGACTGGTACCTTATAGACCAGGGGTATGCCTACCCCCAGGGGTACTTGAGAAGCCCGAAGGGGGTATCTGTGAGTGGGCAGGGACAGACTGCTGCCATGCACCATGCCATGCAGGCACTGCCCACCTGGCCGGATGTGTGGGGCGGGGGAAGGTTGTACGCGGTGCCTGCCACTGCTCTGCCTTCGGCCGTGTGCCCTCTTTCCCACCCCGCCTCCCCGCTACCCACTCAGCGTCTGGCTGCCGGGGGTACGCTGCTCCCCATCCAGCCACTGGGGATACACTGTCCCAAAAAGGTTGAAAACCCATATAGACCAGGGGCAGGCAATTATTTGGGGCAGAAGACTGCTTACTGAGTTTTGGCAAGCTATCGAGGGCCTCATGGCAGGCATCCAGGGGCAGATAAATATTAATTTTCTAAATTTTTTAGGGGCCCCGTGCGCTGGATAGAATGGCCTGGCGGGCCGCATCTGGCCCACGGGCTGCATTTTGCCCACCCCTGTTATAGACTAGCTCATTCAGAGAGGCATGAGCTTTTATAGGCTAAAAATCAGTTCTGTAGATATAAAGATTGAACTTTTCATAGAAAATTTTGTTTCTTAGCATCTGACAAAGTAGGTTGTAGCCCATGAAAGCTCAAGCCTCTCTGAATGAGTTTATAAGGTACTAACCTCTTCTACCATCTGCCTACCTTTAGGCAAACACCACTAACTACCTCTCTATTCTTAGGAGTCCTGTTAGTTTAAATCTCTTGATTTTCCCCTGGGTTCTCCAGACCTAACTGGTCTTTACTTTTTATGCTATATCATGACTGTAAATGACTACAGGTTTTTTTTGAGGTGGCAAGTCACTGCTTTAGTTATAAAGAGCCTTTAAAAATTTTTGAACAGCGTTGTTTAGACAGAAGGTCAATAAATTAATCAAATAGTCTTACATTGCCCATGAGTACTTTTCAAACTGATTAAAATGCAATTTAACTTGTCAGTAATTCAGCACACTTGCCTTCTCAAAAGATGTCTTGCAAATCATTATTCAATGCCATTTTTCTTTATATTTAGAAACATGTTTCATAACCTTTTATGTTCAAAATGCTCTCTGTAATGAGCTGTCAAGCAGCTGTTATTACTTCATCTTCTCTTATACGTGAGTGTGTGCATGTGTATGATATGGGACATTTTGTTAAAAAGATTAGAGTTTTTCTTAAAAGTTATGGTCAAATCATCTTCATGCCACTTTGAGATTGAAGTTAATCAAAATATCTTCCAAGTTTGAGAAGCTTGTTTAAGTTTATAGAAGCTGCAGCAGACTGGCCCCATCCCTAGTGCCTTTTTAATCCAGCATAAGGATTTCTTCCAATACAGGTGCTTTTTGTGTCAGTCTTTTTCTTCAAGGACTTACAAAGTCAAGGCTGCTCATCTCAAGCTACATCTGTGAGAGCAACTTCAAACCAAAAGAATAACAATCCCTATCACAGAGAGGCTAGAGAAGTCTTTTGGCTAACATTCATTTGAGCACACATTATACCTGCAGTCAGGCAGTGTCATGAAGGCCTGAAGAACTGATGCCAACCACCTCAATACTGGTAACGCCAGACACCTTAGTACCTATGCTAAAGCCTGAGGCAGAATTGATCTAATTTACATGGTTTTGTGTAAGCGGTGTAGTTTAGTTGGGTAGTAACAGAACACACATTTGCCCTGTGGTGGGGGGAGCAAATCTTTGACTGGGTTCCACCATTTTTAAACCAGTCTATTTCTGCCACACTTCTGTTGTTATGGGTATAGACTGGTTTTGTGTGTCAAATTTCTGTTCTCTTACAGGTCTAGAGCAGTTTCCTAGTCCTAGAGCTTAGATGCTATGGCCCCAATCCTGCACAGGCTCCTAATGTCATCACCCTGTGCAATAAAGATGGACCTGTGTCCATCTCTGACAATAATTCTCAATAGCAGTAACATAACTAAAGCTAGGTGAAAGGGGCAAGTTCTTCTCTGGGTGCCAAGTTAGGAGGGGTGCTGAATCACCCCTCACCCCCACAGAGTCTGTGCCCCAGGAACATGCTCATGCCAGGAATCCAAAATTATTCCTGGCAGCTGCTGCTGCTGATACTGCATTAAGAGGAACACCTGGGGTGGGCAGAGTACGTGTGGTGGCAATAGCAGCTCACCTGGGAACTGTTTAGGAGTTTCAAACATGTTCAAACATGAAAGGAAACATGTCCAAATATGAATGATCTGGAGATCATTAAAAAATAATAGTGTGCCTGAGTTCTGGGTCAGCTTGGAATGGCATAGGGGAACAAGAGATCTGGCAACAGGCTTCATACTATATGCACAACCCAGTAAAGAAAGCATCTCCAGAAACACGCCTGTGTTGAAGAGGAA